TAACCTGGCTACTGACTAACTGTAACTTGGTTACATATTGAATGCAACTTGGCTACTGACTAACTGTAATTTGGTTACATATTGAATGTAACCTGGCTACTGACTAAATGTAACTTGGTTACATGTTGACTATAACCTGGCTACTGACTAACTGTAACTTGGTTACAAATTGAATGCAACTTGGCTACTGATTAACTGTAACTTGGTTACATATTGAATGTAACTTGGCTACTGACTAACTGTAACTTGGTCACATAATGACTGTAACCTGGCTACTGACTGACTGTAACTTGGTTACATATTGAATGTAACTTGGCTACTGACCAACTGTAACTTGGCTTACATGTTGACTGTAACCTGGCTACTGACTGACTGTTAATTGGATACATGTTGACTAACCTGGCTACTGACTGACTATTAATTCGATACATGGTGACTGTAACCTGGCTACTGACTAACTTGGTAACATGTTGGCTGTAACCTGGCTACTGACTAAGTTGGTAACATGTTGGCTGTAACCTGGCTACTGACTAATTTGGTAACATGTTGACTGTAACCTGGCTACTGACTAACTGTAACTTGGTTACATGCTGACTGAAACTTGGTTACATGTAGACTGTAACCTGGCTACTGACTAACTTTGTAATAAGGTCGACTGTAACCTGGCTACTGAATAACTGTAACTTGGTTACAAATTGAATGCAACTTGGCTACTGATTAACTGTAACTTGGTCACATAATGACTGTAACCTGGCTACTGACTGACTGTAACTTGGTTACATATTGAATGTAACTTGGCTACTGACCAACTGTAACTTGGTTACATGTTGACTGTAACCTGGCTACTGACTGACTCTTAATTGGATACATGTTGACTAACCTGGCTACTGACTGACTATTAATTCGATACATGGTGACTGTAACCTGGCTACTGACTAACTTGGTAACATGTTGGCTGTAACCTGGCTACTGACTAACTTGGTAACATGTTGGCTGTAACCTGGCTACTGACTAATTTGGTAACATGTTGACTGTAACCTGGCTACTGACTAACTGTAACTTGGTTACATGCTGACTGAAACTTGGTTACATGTAGACTGTAACCTGGCTAACTGTAACATGTTGGCTGTTTGACTAATAAGGTCGACTGTAACCTGGCTACTGTAATAACTGTAACCTGGTTACTGAAATTGAATGCAACTTGGCTACTGATGACTAACTGTAACTTGGTCACATAATGACTGTAACCTGGCTACCTGACTGACTGTAACTTGGTTACATGTTGACTGTAACCTGGCTACTGACTAACTGGTAACATGTTTACATGTAACCTGGCTGGTTACTGACTAATTTGGTAACATGTTGACTAACTGTAACCTGTTACACATTACTGACTAACTTGGATACATGGTGACTGTAACCTGGCTACTGACTGACTGCTGAATACATGAAACTTGGTTACATTCGATAGACTGTAACCTGGCTACTGACTAACTTGGTAACATGTTGGCTGTAACTTACTGACTAACTTGGTAACATGTTGACTGTAACCTGGCTACTGACTAACTGTAACTTGGTTACATGCTGACTGAAACTTGGTTACATGTAGACTAACTGCTAACTTTGTTACAGGTCGACTGTAACCTGGCTAATGACTGATCAACTGTAACTTGGTTACATGTTGACTGTAACTACTGATGTAACTTGGTTACATATTGAATGTGACTTTGCTACTGACCAACTGTAACTTGGTTACATATTGAATGTAACTTGGCTACTGACTAACTGTAACTTGGTCACATAATGACTGTAACCTGGCTACTGACTAACTGTAACTTGGTTAAACCTGGCGTGGTGGAGTCATGTCACCCCAGCGCGCACAATGATATTTATATAGGCCTGCCGTGGTCGAATGTGCGCGTAGGTGTGTTGGAAACAGCGGCCGTATCACCGCATAGGCGTTGAACTAACACTCACTGTATTTTTTTCTGAAATGCTGAGATGTCCGTCTACATTTCATACGCAGACTATACCTTTCCATCTCTTACCAAAATATTCTGAAAAATCGCCCAAAACTGTCAAAATACATGTCACCCCAGCGCGCACAATGATATTTATATAGGACTGCCGTGGTCGAATGTGCGCGTAGGTGTGTTGGAAACAGCGGCCGCATCACCGCATAGGCGTTGAACTAACACTCACTGTATTTTTTTCTGAAATGCTGAGATGTCCGTCTACATTTCATATGCAGACCATACCTTTCCATCTCTTACCAAAATATTCTGAAAAATCGCCCAAAACTGCCAAAATACATGTAACCCCAGCGTGGAGAAATGTCACCCCAGCGCGCACAATGATATTTATATAGGCCTGCCATGGTCGAATGTGCGCGTAGGTGTGTTGGAAACAGCGGCCGCATCACCGCATAGGCGTTGAACTAACACTCACTGTATTTTTTTCTGAAATGCTGAGATGTCCGTCTACATTTCATACGCAGACTATACCTTTCCATCTCTTACCAAAATATTCTGAAAAATCGCCCAAAACTGTCAAAATACATGTCACCCCAGCGTGGAAAGTGTGAAAACTGCATACATAGATGGTCGCATCACCACTAAGGCGTTGATCTGAGATATGCGCATTTGGAAAAATAGATTACTCATGACAATACCTAAAATTGCGGTCAGTTTTATTTAATGTATGGATGTGCTTTAAACAACATCAAACTTAAACATCTTTCACTATTCTATCCAATGAAACCTGTCACATGTGCTTGTCTCTTCCGTTGTTTACATACGGTCCTCGCTGGCGCACATGTATTTTCGGCGCGCACCTACAATGACAGTCACTTTGAGTAATACGCGAGATGCAACCAGGGTGTACAAGTCGATAAAGTCAGTCCCGCACCATGTCATCTGAGAGGGTGTAAAATAGCGACGACCGATATTCACTCCATGCGTGCAATGTGTGAAGCCCATTTCTGGTGTCCCCACCGTGATATTGTTAAATGTGGCGAAAAAACTTAACACACTCCATTTCACTCATTTTTTTCATGACTTTGAATTCATCATCCTAATCATTGTGTCCTATGCCTATAGTCATGGAAGTCAGAATTTGGCACAGCAATAGAAACAATGCTTTTCAGAAACCATGATTACTTTTTTCCACTTTCTGGTGTTAGAGGTAGGTCAGACTAATTTTTGAAAAATGTCAATCATCCCAATGTACATGTTGCAGATCAGAGAATAATGTTAATACTTTGATATCATTATTAATAAATGTTTAAAATACATGTACCTCAAACCATTGTTATCAGACAATATTATATTAAACCGTTTTGAATGTTTCTATTTAGAAGTTTATAAGAAAAGCAAGATTTATGGATGTCAACTTCTTAATTGAGAATACATGACTTTTTAGAGTGTATGCTTCCTACTTCATCAGGTAAATGGTAGATAAATGGTATAGAGTATCAGATGGAAGACACAAACACGAGGAGGCCAGTGATACAGTGCTATAGTACAAACATGAGGAAGGGATGCCAGTGGATATACAACACAAACATGAGGCCAGTGGGCTGGTGAGGTTGGGATAAACATCGGTGATACAAACAGAGGGCTTATGTATAAGATAAGTGAGTCCCAAGCACATGGTACATAGATTCCTTGATCACGGTTGATTGCTGGCTGCTGGTCTCCATATGTTTGTGGCTCTGGCCCTGATTTCTCAAAACAAACTTAAGTTTTTACTCAAATTTCAAACTAAGTGTGACAATATGAAACAGTTGAATTTTGAACTCAGCTGCAGTTTTTTAATAAAAAAGCCCAAACAACTTAAGTATTCTATTCACCAAACTCAAATTGTCTACTATGTTTGAGTTTAATATCGATGATTCAGTTCATTCTGTTTGGAAATGCGCATGATTCTCAAATGTGAGTAAGTATCCGAATGAATTTAAGTCAAAACTCAGACTTAAGTTACTGTGACTGAATATTTGTGTTAGAAGTGAACTCAAACCCCTGATGGTGAAAACATCTCCCTGATAGTGCCATATTCTTTTATGCCATTCACCAGATTTAGAAATTGGATGTAAGGAGAAAACAAAACACATATTTATGCTCTTGCAGTAATTCTTAATGAATTTATATTACCATAATTACTAAATGAATATAAACAGAACTTTTACATGTTTAACCTATTTCATACGAGATATAACATGACAAACAGGTAAACTGTTTTGAGTAAAAAATATAGAATATCATCCATTGGGTGTTATGAAGCTCTATCAGAATTCTTATGAACATTAGCTTACCTAGAATTTAAACAGCTTTTTACTAAAATAGTATAGATACGGATATGTTCATTGAAAAACTTAACATGTTGAAGAACTATGAAGTGATGAAATTTAATGTGAGATTACCCAGTCAGTAAAATATGCATATGTACATTCATGAAATTGGCCATACCAATTCTTGAAACTGATAATTCATTTCCTACATTTTGCCATACAGTTACGGAAACTGGCCATATTTATAATATGGTAACAGTATGGACTGTACCATGCAAATTTTGGCTTCCAAAATAGTACAAGTATTAGGGAAATGTATATATATGTTGTTTAAATAAAAAAATAAATAATGAAGTAATATATTTCAAGTTGATTGTAGTTCTATGATGTGTTCTTAGGTAAAAAGAATATATGGAACTTGGAAGTCATGGTAAAGAAAGAAGTTTGAATTTTGATTGTATTTTGTGAAATGAACAAATTGAAGAGCTGTGATACAGTTTAGAACAAGACATATTTTAAGTACCTTTGTGGAGTTGTTTTAATGTGTCAATGTCTTTAAAACAATTCGAATATGTAATACTAGCAGTGTTAAAAGGTCTTTTAAAACTTTCAGTAGAACCTGAATATACTCCCTTTTTTTTACTCATACCTATGTCAAATACCGATTCAATAATGTATCATTTATATTCAACCCAAGAAATACAACATAATTTAGAAATAATTAAACATGTTTGTATTTTTTTTTCAGACTTTAACCTATCTCACCAAGAAGGAAATTTTACAGTAAGTGTTTTGATTCTCCCCGAAGGAATTCCTGGTTAGGAAAGGTCCCTAGCAGCCTATGCTGGTTCTATGTTGATCGAGTGTCAGTGTACCCTGACCGTGTTGATCGTTGCTTTCAATATTGTTCTCTGGACTGTCTGGCTCCTGGCTAAATACAAGCTGCTCTGATGTTTGGATATTTGTGAGTGTAGTGTTAGCACTAAAAAAAGAGGTGAACATATTCATGATATTTTTGTGTGTTTCAAATCATTACAAAGTAAAAGTATTAAAAGGAAATTCCATTTCACCGTTACCGCCAATTTATGCACATATCCACAGTACTCAGGAAATATGACAATTTTGACAGAAGGATTTGTCAGAAAGTCATCTGGACCATGTCTTCGCATGTTATTTCCTGACAGTCATTCATTTGTTGACAATATCCCCCGTAAAGATGTGGTGAAATGGAAACTTCACTTTCCTTATCTTCTACAGTAATTAAGGGCTGGTTGAGAAGCCCATTCACTGAACATGACACAACTAACCTGGGCATCTCAGTTTGCTGTCCAGAATTGTGTCCCTTAGCTTTTCAAGATCTGCTGTTTATGAGTATGAATCTCAGAAGTCTTGGGTTTCACCAACAGTTTTTAAGCCTTTGAGCTGTGTCAATAAAGTATTTTTGGCCAGCTCACAAAGCCTGGCATGGTTGTAATCATGCTGATAATCCTATTGTTGTTTATTGTTTACGAGTCATTACCATGGTAACAGAAATGTTGTATTTGTTTCAGTGTCTACAAGAGATTTTATAATTTAGACAGCACTTCTGTAGATACTGACAGGAACTGCAAACTCACAAAGGGCAAGGTACTGGAGCTTCCTGAACTGAAGGTGAGTAGGGTGTCTTGTGAAAGAGGGCTATCACTGTTTGCTGTTAAATATCGTCAAATTTATTATTTATAAATTTTGCACATTTTGGTCAAAATTTGATTATTTAATTGTTTTCTTTTTATGTTTTCATTCATGTCAATCAATAACTTGAACAACTATCAATGGCTGTAGCAAATTTTCTTTAATTATTTTCCTAAATAACACTTTTAGACACGTTTTTGTGTGACATGCAGAATCTCCCTCTCTGTGATCAGGCAGTCATGCAAATGAGTGACCTCCCTCTCAGGTAGTCACTTGTACGCCAAACGGGGGACCGTCTTGTGTACACGTTAAGTCCTCTACTGATCACTGTTAAACCAGTCCATGCAGCACCTGCATGCATACATTTCTCCCCACCTGTCTTGCTGCTATAGCCTGACTCACCTTTTCACACGAAGAGCTGTTATCATAATGTGTCCACAAGATTCAGAATCAAGTTTGTATGACATGTATGAAACACCTAACCATGTCTGTATCTACAGGTGAACCCTTTTGGAGAGCGCATCTGCCAGGTGTTTTCATCAGACGGCCAGGGCAATATGACATTTGAAGACTTCCTGGATATGATGTCAGTCTTCTCAGATAATGCACCCAAGAATGTCAAGGTTGAATATGCCTTCAGAATATATGGTAAGATAATGTTTCAAGGTGGAATGTCTAATATTTTTGTTAGTTTTGCACCCTGTACTGTGTACATACATTTTAAGGGCACCTGCTAACGTGGTCTAGGACACCAGTGACCACCATCAGTCAAGTCAACTTGACTCTCTCAGTCTGTAACAATGTCTGACTATGGTATGATGTTTGTGTATTGTGGCAGTGATAGATTGTACATAGCTCCCATCTGTCTGTGAGTCCAGAAGGTTGTCTGTTAGCTGTAAAGTATCACCTTCAACCTGCTTAGACATGGACTTGTCTATCATTTTTCATGTAACATGCTCTGCGTGTCCCTAACTGACAAAGTAAAACCCAATTAGGCTCATGATGGTGTTTCTTTTTCAGATTTTGATGAGGACGACATGTTATCAAGTGCAGACCTGCGTCAGGTTGTTGACCACCTGACAAGTTTCCAGAACCCTGATCAGAAGCTGTCTGATGAGGACATGCAACAGCTCATAGATAATGTGAGTCTGGTTACCATGGTTTCCAAACTAGAAGGTCTATCTTATGATAAGGACAGATTCTATGAGAACTCATACGTGACTGGTATATCTGTGGTGCACAGCTAGAATACTTGTGGTGCATGACGTGTATCTGTGGTACATGACTAGGATATCTGTGGTACATGACGTGTTTCTGTGGTGCATGACTAGGATATCTGTGGTACATGACATGTATCTGTGGTACATGAAGTGTATCTGTGGTACATGACGTGTATCTGTGGTACATGACGTGTATCTGTGGTACATGACGTGTATCTGTGGTACATGACATGTATCTGTGGTACATGACCTGTGTATCTGTGGTACATGACGTGTATCTGTGGTACATGACGTGTATCTGTGGTACATGACATGTATCTGTGGTACATGACATATATCTGTGGTACATGACGTTTATCTGTGGTACATGACGTGTATCTGTGGTACATGACCTGTGTATCTGTGGTACATGACGTGTATCTGTGGTACATGACATGTATCTGTGGTACATGACATGTATCTGTGGTACATGACATGTATCTGTGGTACATGACGTGTATCTGTGGTACATGACCTGTGTATCTGTGGTACATGACGTGTATCTGTGGTGCATGACGTGTATCTGTGGTGCATGACGTGTATCTGTGGTGCATGGCTTGTATCTGTGGTACATGACATGTATCTGTTGTGCATGGCGTGTATCTGTGGTACATGGCTTGTATCTGTGGTGCATGACGTGTATCTGTGGTGCATGACTTGTATCTGTGGTGCATGACGTTGTATCTGTGGTGCATGACGTGTATCTGTGGTACATGACGTGTATCTGTGGTGCATGACGTGTATCTGTGGTACATGACATGTATCTGTGGTGCATGACGTGTATCTGTGGTGCATGGCTTGTATCTGTGGTATATGACGTGTATCTGTGGTACATGACGTGTATCTGTGGTGCATGGCGATGTATCTGTGGTGCATGACGTGTATCTGTGGTACATGCCGTGTATCTGTGGTATATGCCGTGTATCTGTGGTTTGGCTTGTATCTGTGGTGCATGGCTTGTATCTGTGGTGCATGGCTTGTATCTGTGGTACATGACGTGTATCTGTGGTGCATGACGTGTATCTGTGGTGCATGACGTGTATCTGTGGTGCATGACGTGTATCTGTGGTGCATGACGTGTATCTGTGGTGCATGACGTGTATCTGTGGTGCATGACAATGTATCTGTGGTGCATGACTTTGTATCTGTGGTGCATGACTTGTATCTGTGGTACATGGCGTGTATCTGTGGTACATGGCTTGTATCTGTGGTGCATGGCTTGTATCTGTGGTGCATGATGACGGTATCTGTGGTGCATGGCGTATCTGTGGTGCATGAAACGGTATCTGTGGTACATGGTGTATCTGTGGTGCATGACGTTGTATCTGTGGTGCATGGCGTGTATCTGTGGTGCATGACGTGTATCTGTGGTACATGGCTTTGTCTGTGGTACATGGCGTGTATCTGTGGTGGCATGGTATCATGTATCTGTGGTGCATGGTGTTTGTATCTGTGGTACATGGCTTGTATCTGTGGTATATTATGGCGTGTATCTGTGGTGCATGTGTATCTGTGGTACATGACGTGTATCTGTGGTGCATGTATCTGTGGTATAATACGTGTATCTGTGGTGCATGGACGTGTATCAGTGGTGCATGGCGTGTATCAGTGGTGCATGGCGTGTATTTGTGGTGCATGGCGTGTATCTGTGAAGTGCATGAAACGTGTATTTGTATTGGTGCAACACGACGGTATCTGTGGTGCATGGACGTGTATCAGTGGTGCATGACATGTATCTGTGATTGCATGGCGATGTATCTGTGGTGCATGACGTGTATTTGTGGTGCATGGCGTGTATCTGTGGTGCATGACGTGTATCTGTGGTGCATGACGTGTATCTGTGGTGCATGACGTGTATCTGTGGTGCATGACTTGTATCTGTGGTACATGACGTGTATCTGTGGTGCATGGCTTGTATCTGTGGTACATGACGTGTATCTGTGGTGCATGACATGTATCTGTGGTGCATGACGTGTATCTGTGGTGCATGACGTGTATCTGTGGTATATGACGTGTATCTGTGGTGCATGGCTTGTATCTGTGGTGCATGGCTTGTATCTGTGGTGCATGGCTTGTATCTGTGGTGTATGACGTGTATCTGTGGTGCATGACGTGTATCTGTGGTGCATGACGTGTATCTGTGGTACATGACGTGTATACATGCCTTGTTTCTGTGGTGCATGGCTTGTATCTGTGGTGCATGGCTTGTATCTGTGGTACATGACGTGTATCTGTGGTACATGGCTTGTATCTGTGGTACATGACTAGGATATCTGTGGTAGATGACATGTATCTGTGGTGCATGGCTTGTATCTGTGGTACATGACTTGGATATCTGTGGTACATGACGTGTATCTGACGTACACGACAAGGATATCTCTGGTACATGACGTGTATCCATGGTACATGACTAGGATATCTGTGGTACATGACATGTATCTGTGGTACATGACATGTATCTGTGGTACATGACTAGGATATCTGTGGTACATGACATGTATCTGTGGTACATGACATGTATCTGTGGTACATGACTAGGATATCTGTGGTACATGACATGTATCTGTGGTACATGACTAGGATATCTGTGGTACATGACGTGTCTCTGTGGTACATAACATGTATCTTTTGTACATGACATGTATCTGTGGTACATGACATGTATCAGTGGTGCATGACGTGTATCAGTGGTGCATGACATGTACCAGTGTTGCAATGTATCTGTGGTGCATGACATGTACCTTTGGTACATGATGTGTATCTTTGGTACATGACGTATATCTATGATACATGACATGTATCTGTTGTATGACTTGTATCTGGTGTTGGCGATGTATCGTGGTGCATGACGTGTATCTGGTGCATGGCATGTATCTGTGGTGCATGACATGTATCTGTGGTGCATGACATGTATCTGTGGTACATGACATGTATCAGTGGTACATGTGTATCTGTGATGCATGACATGTATCTGTGGTGCATGACATGTATCAGTGGTACATGACGTGTATCTTTGGTGCATGACGTGTATCTTTGGTGACATGACATGTATCAGTGGTACATGACGTGTATCTGTGGTGCATGACATGTATCTGTGGTGACATGACATGTATCAGTGGTATATGACGTGTATCAGTGGTACATGACGTGATTCCGTGGTCTGTGTAACAGTGGACATGACATGTATCAGTGGTATATGACATGTATCAGTGGTGCCTTGACATGTGTCTGTGATGCATGGCGATGTGTATCTGTGGGCGTGACGTGTAATCAGTGCTTACATGACGTGTATCGGTGGTGGATGACATGTGTCTGTGGTGCATGACGTGTATCTGTGGTGCATGACATAATAATCTGTGGTGCATGACATGTATCTGTGGTGCATGACATGTATCAGTGGTGGACATGACATGTATCTGTGGTACATGACATGTATCTGTGGTGGATGACATGTATCTGTGGTGCATGATGTGTATCTGTGGTGCATGACATGTATCTGTGGTGGATGACATGTATCTGTGGTGCATGATGTGTATCTGTGGTGCATGACATGTATCTGTGGTGCATGACATGTATCTGTGGTGCATGACATGTATCTGTGGCACATGACATGTATCTGTGGTAGAGGTATCTTGGATAGTACAGGAACTCCTTTCTCTTATAATGTAACTGAAATGCGCCTCGACGTGGCTTTAAACATCTGATCATCTGGGTTTCAGATCCTTGAAGAGGCAGATCTTGACGATGATGATTCTCTGTCATTTGCTGAGTTTGAACATGTTATATCCAAGGCTCCAGACTTTGTCAAGTAAGTTTTAGCCTTCATACAATCTGCTATATTATCCCTGGATATCTGCATTACTGTCCAAAGGACGGTTCTAGGATGGCCCTGTTGTCAAAATCTTGTAACACTTGATGGTGAAATATACACCCAAAATGTTTGATGCATTTATTTATAGTAATATACAATAACATCATTTAATACTTAATTTTCTTACTTAATCATGGTCTGCATGTTGTTAAGATACAGGGGGCGGTGGGGTAGCCTAGTGGTTACAGCGTTGGCTCGTCACGCTGAAGACCCGGGTTCGAATCCCCACATGGGTACAATCTGTGAAGCCCATTTCTGGTGTCCCGCGCCATGATGTTGCTGGAATATTGCTAAAAGCAGCGTAAAACCAAACTCAGTCAGTCAGTCAGTTAAGATACAGGGATATTTAATCTAACTCTTTCTGTGCTTCAGCTCCTTCAGAATCCGTTTGTAAAGAGGTTGAGACAGATCAGATCTCTCCCTACACAAGAAGTCCCATCCAGATGTCAAGTTAAGGGGTATAAGCCTCAGCATGCTCAAGAAATCAGTCTCCTGTCATCTTCATGACAGACGCTGTCACTTTCGATCTGAAAAATATTGTTTTCTTATTTGATTTTAATTAAATTGTTCTTGTTGGAAATGATTAATATATTTTTAAACTGTGATCACGTCTGTGAATATTATGATAGTTTTAGCAGTGTTGCCATCCTTAGATATGAAGAGGTCAAACTATGTACCACATTTGCTGTGTTATTGAGCTCCAATCAGCACCCTCTAACCAACTTGTAGACTTGTCAGAGAGTAATGTTTTGTGTATTGTAAACAGTGTTTTGAAAAATACAGACAGCTGGATGTTTATTCCTGATTTAAAGAAAAATAGTTGGAATGAAATTATTCACTACTGCTTGATCTCTGAAAAGAATTTTAACTTTCGATACCTGGTTTTATTTTAACAAATATGGTACATGTTGGTCGATTATGTTACTTTTGTTTTAGCAGCGTATTTTCTTGGAGATTACTCATGTTTCCATCAATGGCTAAGGCTGCTGGTTCTGTCTGTGGCTAAGAAGTCTGTCAGACAGACGTAAAATTTTAATGTTTAAAATATGGGATATGACTGTGCATTGGAAAAACAGTGAATCTTTGTTTACTCATGCTGTTAAGCATGTATGATTTTATGTGATAAAAATCATTCAAGATATTATCGGCACTACTGGTTGTGGGCTGACATCAAACTGTGGATGACAACACATTTCCAGTGATTCCAGTGATTCTGAGTTGACCAAGTTTCACTTTGTACAAATATTACCATAAGGCCAGACCAATTTTATTTCTTGTTTTATGGCTTATTGGCCTCAGAAAACCTAAAGGCAGGAGGGGAAAAAATAAAAAATAAAAATAACTCGTCAAAATAATTTTCCTTTTAAATACTAAAAGTATTTTATTTTTGGCAATTTATGAAGTTTATATGGGGCAAAAAACAATCAAAAAAATTGTTTTTGTCATATGCACCTTGTCACTTTTAGCTGTTTTTATAATATTGTGAATGACATTGGATGTTACTGTTTTGTTTCATGCAACTGATACCAGCAATATAACACATTGCTGCTGCTTTAATAAGCAGACTGCGGAGAATGGAAAATATCATCTACATTTCAGATGGCACACACTCCGTGAGATTGTATATATTCTATTGTGTGTTCCCAATTGTGATACCATGATAAATTATGAATTTATTGAAAATGGTTTAAATGGCCACATTGCTGCTGCAGGTTCTGTTGGTCAGAAAGATCACCATGATTACTGTGTATATGTACATATAATGTAGTTGTGTTGGATCCGAGTTCCATTCACAGACATTTGTGATGTTGTTTCTGTTGACTTCGTTATGTGATATCATTTTAGGCAAAACTTTCTTCATTGCTTGGATACAAAACTCAGGATAAAATAAATTAGGCAGAAATGTAGCATTTGGCTTAGTTGTTGATGTTTCAGTTACTAGTTGTAGGATACTGTAGACAATATTTCTTCAAACACAGACTTTTGTCTTCTTTTCTGGTTCAATATTTTGTATGTAAGGGCTACAGATAATTTACATGGGACATACCTAGCCCATGTTTACAAAATCATGTTTATTAAGTCAGAATGTGTCATGTTTTATTTAAAGTACAAATAATGTGTGGGCAAGTTAACATTATAGTGGCATCAGCATACAAGTAATGTGTGGGCAAGTTAACATTATAGTGGCATCAGCATACAATGTGTGGGCAAGTTAACATTATAGTGGGCAAGTAAGTTAACATTATTATAGTGGCATCAGCATACAAGTAATGTGGGCAAAGTTAACATTATAGTGGCATCAGCATACAAGTAATGTGTGGGCAAGTTAACATTATAGTGGCATCAGCATACAAGTAATGTGTGGGCAAGTTAACATTATAGTGGCATCAGCATACAAGTAATGTGTGGGCAAGTTAACATTATAGTGGCATCAACAAGTAATGTGTGGGCAAGTTAACACTATAGTGGCATCAGCATGATGAACCAAGTGAAGCAAGTAATGAAAAAAGTTTGCCTTGAGTGTATGTTACCATGGTTACCTGTTGTGTATTACAGAACAAGAGTATTATTTGTAAACAGGTATTCAGACATGTTTGTATCAAGTTTGACATTTAAATGGTTGTGCATATATAACATATTTTCGGTAATACAATGGATACGAAAACAGGTTCATAAGTATATGTTGGTACAAATTAAAAATCTATTTTGAAAAGGTAGTTTTTATTTGGACCATATATTCTCTTCCTCATGTAACTGAAATATATATATTTTGAGTGTGTATATTTTAAAATAGTATTATTTACCATTAGCAGGAGTGACAATCATCCTGATGTGTGAAGTATGTGTTTATGTTCCGATGAATATTCCAGATTTTAACCTTGATAGCACAAAATACATTTTGTGTGTATGTTATCTTCGTATACATTGACATCTATTACCTCCATTTCTACATATTCTTCTCATCAAAAAGAGATTTTTCTCAGACCATACAATTATGATCCCAATGCTAAGCACACTGGGCTTAACAAGAGGCTGTTAAGTTACTGAGGTTTCATAGTTTTTCTTTTGTTATCCTAATTGACTACTGATGATCAACAACTTCATTTTCCATAAAGTGAAAACAATTATGAAAGCCATAATCCGCTTCAGTAAGGGTTTGAAAAAGCGTACAGTGAATCGCAGGTTAAGTTTATTTTACCATCTTTTACCAAAATTCATACAAATCCAATGAACAAATGAAGAGAATGTTGTGGTCCATGTTACATGGTGAATCAGCTTCCTGAACAATCCTCTGTGTGTAACACTGTGGTGGCATGTTGATCGAGATAACTTCATGTTGATGTAAAACATTTGTAATGTAAGTCACAGCTGCTGATAGGACCACTCTGCAAAAAAACATAATTGTAGCAAACCCGACCCAGCAGCCCAGGGACTGGTGATATTTATTGTTCATGAGAATTACAATTGAAATATAGCAGCATGGTATTGGTGGCATTGTATGCCCACTAGCACAGAGTACTCAGTACTGATTCATGTCCATGTTAAGGTATAGGAGTACAACTGTCTTCTATCACTAAGATTGTTTGTACAAATGGGCTTTGCCTTACCAGGTTTGGATAATTCTATCTTAGTGCTAAGATGATTGCAACTCCCATACTGTCACAGACTTTCACTGATTTTGTGCTGAAACTAGAGCCCATTCCACATAAGAATCTTCACTCCTGCTCTAACATTGTCTCACACTAATTGTTGTGCTAAGATCAGGGCACTGTTCCACAAAGAATCTTCACTTCCATCATTGACAATGGGTTATGGTTATCATTGTGCTAAGATGGTTTATCGGAATCCTTGGAGTTATTATCCAAGCTTGCCTCTGTTAATTTTGTTGTTGAAAGTGGTACAAGATGTCGACCTGTAAATGCTGGAATTAATTCATGTTGGCTCATGCTGTTGTTTTAAGGAGGAGAACACAATTCTACTCTGATTATGCAATATTTTATAGGGGTTGCTGGTAAAACCTGTCTGAACTTTCTACTTTTAAATAAATATATATATTCTTTTACATCCTCTTTGTTCTGTTTCTATACAAGAGCTGCTGACAAACAAGAATTGGATGAAGGCTGCTTAAGAAAGAGATCTAGTTTCTTTATCCACTATGACATGAAAACTGTATTATTCACTAGATTGATAATGCTGTAAACAGTGTATGAAATAAGGCCCATCCGACCACCCGAGATGGGCTAGATTTCTGACGGACGGTCCAAATTTACAGCTAGCCAGCCCGATGGTCTGGTAAATATGTTAAATGTTCCATAGATCTAAGTAAAATTCACCATGTCTTGGTGTTTGGTCACAGTTAAATCCATTTTGGGGCTGGTAACATTTTGAAGTTAGCAGCCCTGATGTCTGGCTGGATTTTTGGCTTATTTCACACACTGCTGTAAAAGAATTCCAAACAGGTGTATCAAGGTTGATACCTTATTCACCACAAACACAGAGCTGTGAGAAGGCTTACAGCTGGCTAATACAATGAGACAGCTGGGAAATAATTGATTGTGTACTCATATTACATACATTGCATGCATTTTCAACCTCATGGCCTCCAGTTACAGAACCAACAATTGGGAGTGAGTATGGTATTACGCCACTTAGCAATATTCTTCTTTAGGCCAGACCAATTTCATTTCTTGTTTTACGAGTCTGCCGGTCATATTTTTTCAAGAATAATAATAAAAAATAATAATTAATCTTCCCCGCACAAATAATAAAATCCTAATGTTTTTATTGGCCAAAAAGTAAACTTACAAGAAAAATTTTTTGGGATTGTTTTTCCCTCCATATACATATCATAAAATTGCCAGTAGTAAAATACGTTTAATATTTAGAAGGAATATTACCTTGACTTGGGATTTTATTTTAAGTTGGTTTTCCTGCCTTTAGGTTTTCCTGCCTTTAGATCATGATTGCAATGAGGCTGAATACGACTAGATTGAAGGTGTCTGAGCTACAGTGAGATATCTCTTTTTGACACGATTCCAGCATTTCTTAACATTCAACTTTAAGATTAATGGGAATTTTTTAATCGTATTTAACTATACCTGACCAAAGTTTTGAATGCAAACTTACAGGTTGTTCAGCTTGACCTGATCAAGTGAATACTAATGCATTGCGTGACCGTGTCACAACTGGTTGGGTCCATTATTGTGGAGAGGTGTACCTTCGTCAGTTGATCGTCAACATGGCCATTTAACATTCTCTGCTCCCTTATTTAATTAAGTCAACTCAACCTGCCATTTGTGTTGTTTGACCTCCCGGGTCATGCATATGTAGAGTAGCTCAGGTCAAGCAGAACAAGCTGTTTTATAGTGAGAGTGTATGTGACAATCCTAACTATTACAAGAATAGCCAAAGTTGCTCACATGGCAACAGGTTAAGTCAACAATTTGATTCATACCATGATTCTGACTCTAAACAAATCCCTGTTTGTTATTTAACACCACATGCAACAATACTCCAGATGTATCACAGTCTGAATATAAGTGAGTCAGGGTTAGACATTTCAATGTGTGCCACCTTGAGCATCAATTCATGCAAGTGGGCATGAATGCATGACCCCAAGTCATGAAACTTAACCACCTCATCCATTTTGTCGTCTTTACGATGTGAGCACTCATGCACACACACGCATGCACACACAAATGGACGCACGTTACTTATTAGGGCATTTAATCTTAAATGCAGTTTTTGTGTACACCAGATGCAAATAATAAGAAAGAACATGGACTTTTCAACACTGTTTAATGCTGTCATATGCAACTCATGGTTTTACTGAATGATGATCTTGCACAACATGATTAAATGACACAGCTGAAAAACATAACAAATATCATATTGTACAATATCACTTTTAGTTATTTACAAAAAACACATATCCAGCAGGAATTTCTTTATGAAAAGAAGAGGACAAACCCAAAAGAAAACTGACTGGAACTTAACAAAGTAATGCAGTAATTCTGCACAATATAAAGGTATCCTATCAAAGACATGCCACCATACATCCTCATGTTTATCCGTAGTGATGGACAGAAATAAAATGAGCTTGTAAACTTCATATAAAAGTACACAACAATATATAAGTTATTACAAAAAAACATTTCTAAATCATGGAGATCAAAATGATTATATATAAAAGTGTCACAAAACTAGTTCTCAGTTTATATGGAAAGACATACGGTAACCTATGTCACTTTGTAGTTAACAAACATTATCCAATTCTGACACTAAACACACATTCTTGGGCCGAAAACAAAATGCCTAAGAACTTAAACTTGTTTGTTCATGCAGTGTTGAAATAGAAAACATAACTACAAGAAATGGGAGTAACAAAACATTCAAAACCTGATAGAATTTCAAGTTATATATCACAACCATTAATACTGACTTCCATGAGAAAACAAAACAATCAAACAGACTAATGTTCCACTTGCTGTATGGTCTCGAAATTTTGGTTTTGCATTTTATAAAAACTTAAAGAAAGTAGTGTCCAATAGGAAATATGTAGATAACAACATTGTGTGGAAGCTACAGTTAGCGACTCTCGAAGTACACATCCCTCATCTCCCTGTCTCGCTGGGAAGAGTTGAGGGCGACGCGACGGATGAGGGGCCCCCGTCGTGCTACATGCTCTATGTGAGGTAAACTGATTTGATCCGAGTGACCAGTGGACAGAAGCATGCTGAAACAACAAAGACACAGTTTTTATATACAGGTGTATAACATACACACATATATACAGACAAATCCCTTATAAGATACAACAATTCACCAATGAATCAGTTCACTGAAGTTTAACCAGTAAAAATCACAATCTTTATATTCTGTATCAGTACATGATTTCTCAATGTGTTTTTTCCATATACACAGCAGTGGGTCTACAAACTTATTCTGTTTCACATTTTGTGTTATCATATGAAGAGTTCAAATAAATTTCATGGAACATCGTGCTGTGCTTCGAAGTCCCGAATAGATAAAATAATGCATTTGTTTCCACAAATGGAGCTTTTCTTTTAATTTGTTCTAATTTAAACCAAACGGTTTTTTTAAACAAAAGAATGTGATCCATGCTTATAAAACAAATCTCATAATGTTTATTATCCCACAATCCCAGGTGTTCTTTCATCCAACATAAAGGTTCAGGTTATTTCTTATAAAAGTGGGCTTGAAGTTTCTTCAGAATATTTGAGTGTACATGAGACCAGTGAATTCCATTGTCACATATTCTAGGGGAGATGTGGCATCCAACAGATGCATCAACTATCATGAACAACTGACAGATGCATCAACTATCATGAACAACTGACAGATGCATACACTCAGATTGAGTGAGTGTTTTGTTTTTACTCCGCTTTGAGCAACATTCCAGCAATATCACAGCGGGGTACACCAGGACACTATCATGAGTGAGTGAGAGAGTATGGCTCTCACCGCTTTTAGCAATATTCCAGCAAATATCACGGTGGGGACACCAGAAATGGGCTTCACACATTGTGCCCATGTGGGGATTCAAACCCGGTCTTCGGCATGACGATGGCAGACGCTTTAACCACTAGGCTACCCACTCAATCCCCTACACTATCATGAACAACTGACTAGAGTTACCAAAGATGCAGACTTGACACTTTAATTCATCTTCTCCATCGCCTGTACATGCTGAAAGAAAATGTGTTCCCACATTTGGTCCTGAGCTAGGTTTGTTTTACTATGTACTAACTTGTATTTCAACATAATGTACCTTATTAAACCAAACCCACGAACCTTTTGCTTGACATCCATCTGGGAGACACTGCACTGAATACAGGTTGTTATGACAGAGATACAGGGCATGTCATTCATGCATGGAAGGGGACTTACAATCGGTAGATAAACTGTCTTGTACAATATCGAGAGGACCCCCTGACATTTTCAACAAATCTCATCAACATTTAGTTCTGCACATGAATGGTGCCACAATTTACAGTGCAGAGTTGCATGCCTTTGAGGTGCCAGAATCCTATAATCACTCAATACTTTGCCATCAGAGAGTCTCACTAGTGGCAGAGTTGTCTGAGGTGCTGCAATTTCACAGGGATGAATACCAAGGGCGAGGCAGAATCGGAGATTTGCCCCATTTATAATCCTTGGTTTGTGAGAATCCTAACCTGCTTGTGGTTTCACTAAAATATCTCAGTCCTGTACTCTACTGTATGGTCCAAAAGGAACATGTACCCTTTCCTCTGTGAGAGGCAATCATCCAAACAATGGTTAGGTGTAGCATTTTTCTGTTTTTGTTCACAAAATTGATATTGATAATTAATTATAAACCTTACAAATATATAAGAGAAAAATGTAGATAAATAAGTAGAATATTAAAGCATAATTTATATACATTGTGGAATCTTCAAAACCTATAGATTGGGATTTTTTATTCTACAGAACCAGGATTAATGAAGAGGAGAAACATAGGTTTGATGTTTATTCTATGACACTGATGCATGAAGTTTCAAATGTATAAATAAGTTGTATCTAATCTACAGTAATTAGACTACCTCAAATCACAGAAGTTTAAATCCTAAATGGCAGTAAGACCAACCCTTCAAACAAACAAAGACCAATAACTTAACATCCTCATGTATTTTAAAATATTTTCTTGCATCCACATTTGAACCTGACAAACATTCAATATAAATTCAGACTTGGATACATCACTAGTTTGAGGATTTGTGTACAAGGCCAAGAATGATGACACTGAGCAAACGAGTCAGTTGTTACTCCTGTGCAACACATTGAGCAAACTGAATGCACTTGACAAGAGCCAGGAAATACAAAAAGACTCTTAGAACATTACCATGTCAATTTGCCAAGAAATTCTACATTAATCTGGCTGCAAATCAACAATGTTAAAGAAAATAATTCTTGAATTTATTCATTCACAGAATTTCTGCAATGAATCCTTAATAATTCTTATATAGATATCCTGAACACGTGAATACAAGACATTGGGATTTTAGATTAAAATTTAATATAAGGAGGGAATATGAGAGCATCCTCATCACTGTTACTAGTGTTAGCTTAATCTTCAGACCTTTAAGTGAAACATATGACATTTATCAGCCATAGTGGTATGAAAACCACTGCAGTCAATCATTTTCAGTAATTCACAATCTTCTTCATGCTGCTAGTAACTGCCATTGTTTAATTGTTGCCAGTATCTTGTGTGATGCTGTCAACAGTAACTTGTCAGAGTAATGTATTGTCACAAGTAACTGGAGATGACACTGCCCATTGTTGCCAGTATTTGTGTGATGCTGTCAATAGTAACTTGTCATAGTAATGTATTGTCACAAGTAACTGGAGATGACATTGTTTATGTCACGAATGATTCTATGACACTATTCCCCACTTCAGCATGACCTGATCCAGGAAAGCATAATTGTTTCACATGTTCACAGAGAACATAATGAACAGCCTCAAGCAACAAGGAATTATGGATCATATCCCCTTATGATCTATGATAATTAATGCTAAACTGTCCTTAATAAAACAGAGGTGGGTAGTGGTTAGAAGCGTTAAGCCGGGGAGTGGAATGTCGAGTGGGTTTGATCCCGATCCAGGTCATACCAAAAGACATTAAAAATATGGTACTTGTTAGTCCCTGCCTGGCGCTCGGCGTTAATGGGTACAACAAGGACTGGTCGGATCAGAGTCAGTATGATGTGTCTGAGTGGGGTATTTAAGCTTAACTGCGGCATGGTATCTCAGTGAGCTAGCACTATAAAACCAGCATAAATCTGGGCTTGTACAAGCAGCCACACATACACACGCATGCATGTTGTCATATGAGCGAAATAATCTTAAGTACAATGTTAAACCCCATTTTACCTCACCTTAATATACATGGAACAAAAATAATTAAATCTTGAAGGTTATTCTCTAAATCGTCCACATGGCCATGATAGGATGGTGGAATGCCTGACACAATGGTAAGGCAATGGATAACAAATCATCAATAGAATGTAACCTTACCTGAAGTGCTCTCAAGATGTTCCATTAGCGAGAAGCAGTCAGCATGGCAGTGCACACTGGGAACTTATCACCACACACACAAACTGATGACATCACCATATCGTGAACACTGCAAGTCACTCAAGTGCCAACAAATGCTTTATATGGTTAGTATCAAATTAGCTGTAATTGATATTTAGATAACTTTATTGTCTGTTCTTTTAGATAAAGATTTTCATTTAAGAAACTGGATTTGTATTCACAAGATTATTATTTTGCTGATTACATATTGTATGGGTGTACATACAGATTCAAATTTCTAGAAGACATGCACTATTTGAGACTCTACAAGGGAGAATACACCCAGCTTCATCAGAGCACCAGGACTACAGCAAAGGATGTTACAGTACTTGGTCCATTTCTTCATACTAATACTAGTTTTGCTCTGTGATATCTTTGTGGGAAAACTGACAAATGTCTCTAAATCCATTTTGAGATGACTGAATTAATACAAGATGACAAAGAAATGAACCATTGTAATGAAAAAAACCTAAGAGTATAATTAGCAAAGAAAAAAGTGAGAACATTTTTTCTATCGAGACATAAAATTATAGGAAAATATAGTACAAAAGTTGATGTGTACATATCTAAGAACGTCTAAATTCCTTCAGTTCTGAACAGAATAGTCGTAACTAAATGAATAAGAAGATTTATCTAAAAAGCCAGATTAGTATCAGGTGCTCATCACAAAGCTTATAAAGTCTCTGCCAGATATTTCAGACATGCAAGTTAAAGATGGCATTTCTTAAACTGAAGTTCAAAGTAATCCTTACGAAACAGGCTTGAATGAAACATCTGGCAAATACCAACAACTGAACTCTGCGAACATGTCATCAAGCACAGTGAAAACCACTACCAAGACAATCAGAGGATGTATAGCAGCAGGTTTGTGGGAATGGCATGCAAGAATATAGCACTAAAAAGACACATAACTGATTCTAGAATCAATGAAAGATGCAAGCACAACAACCTGTCCTACTGTTGATTTGCAGCACACATGCGTACATCAATATTGCAAGTGATGTTGATTTTGTACAGTTTTGTCCCCATGTACAGTGATCCATAATTTGAATAATTTTAGTTCTACAGCACTGTTATATCAGCAAACACTCTTCACATGACAGTAATATATTCATGTTTGAAAGACAGAAGTAAAAAATTCAGCATAATGATATGTTACATTAAAAAATCTGCAACAATTTGTGTCACAGAGAACGTATTTAAAACAAGTTTTAGCATGATTATATTTGAATCGAAACATTTGTATGATTACAATTCTAATTTACATAAATTTTGATAAAACGTTATTTTCTGGACTCAAACTACATAATGTTCAAAATCCTGGTGCTTTTTTATTTCATAAATAGATCAAATCATCATGTCTTTTTCAAATGATTAGTACACAGAAGGAATGGAGGAGTACATGAAGGTAAGCGACAAGCACATGACAGGTGACAGCTATAGATGACAAGCAGCGACTACAATGTACACCCATACTTACAACATTGCATTTTTCTTAAACTGGTCCTCAGCACTGACAGGCAGCTTGAAGTAGTCCACACTCTTCCTGGTCCCGGACTTGTCTGTGTAGTGTTCACGGTGAGACTGAGCCAGCTGCAGGCAGAATTTGTGAAACAATAACAAATACCAATAATATCATCAGTAAAATTAACAACAATAAAAAATAAACATCATATCATGGTCATAAATTCTGTAAAATAATGCATATTGATAGCACAGTTATTTATGTTTTCAGGTTTACTTTTCAGGTATATACAAAATAAGATGCTATTATATTTGCATGTTTTATTTGCACAGGTGAGAGTGAGATTTGGGTTTTCTGCCACTTTAGGTGTTATTCCACCAGTAATTGTCTTCACATGTTGCAGGTGATGGGGATTAAACATGGATCCTCAGTATCAGGAGTTACTGCTTTAACAACCACACAAATCCATTGTCCTACATGGGTTTCAGCTATGGTGAGATGATAAAGAGTTTGACGCTGAACTGTCCTAGTTTATTGCTTTTTATAGTGACATGCATGCATACTTGGCTACTTGTACTAGTCTGGCCTAGTCCTGGTTCCATAGTGCTAGCTCAGTGAAACACCATGCCGAGGTTCAACATGGTAACCTGACTTGGACACTTTACACCGACTTTGAGTTGAACCGACTTTGTGTTGAGCACCAGGCAAATCAACAACATATGTACCATCTTTTAAGGCCATTTTGTGTTACGCAGCTGGGAATCAAACCCGTGACCGACCTTCCTCTATAAAAGGACCTGGTCTATCCATATTATCATAAATCTATGCTATCATTAAAGTGACATAGGTTTTTTCATAGTTGGCAAGTCTGTGATAGATTTTATGTTATCCATACTAATTGGTCATTCTCCATACCTGGTCAAACTTGTACAGCTCTTCACGCCTGTCATGGTCAATGTTTGACAGCTGATATTTGGGTGCTGTAAGCCATCTGTCTTGGTTGCGACTGCGGTTCCCAATCACTAGGTCAGGGTTGTGTGTGTAGTACGTGGGGAACTGCCCTCCTCTGCAGTAGGGGTCAGCTGAGCTCCTTAACACCTCAGACCTACAAGTACAACATGGTTGCATTAAACAAATAAGCTAAATAAACCAGTTATTGTGACACAAAGTTGCAAGTTGCGTAATATATAATTGTTTATATATTGTTAATATGATCTGCCTTCAAATTAAGACACAATGCAGACCCCTATCCAAATCACTACAACATATAAACCTGTCAGAATTTTCCAGATGTTTTACTTTCATGATGTTATGAAGAATCTTTTAGAGACTAAATAGATGAGGTATGGATCGAACAGTTAATTATGAGAGTGTTTAGTATTGTTTGTCTACAGTGAAACAGTAAGACATGTGACACTCGTACCTGTAGTCCTGGAAGTATTTAGCTGTTGCATTGCCATAGGTCTCACCATAGTCAAACTTGGTGGTGGGGCAGTGACCTCGATACCTGCAACAACATTAAATGGTTAATCGAATATGTTATTCACTAAACCAAATCTAACTTCTAGTATTCGTCACTTCTTTCCACCCACAAAATACACTTAATCAGGAAAATACATCCATCTAAGTTGTTTTACTAAAATTTAACAAAATCTGTTAATGACAAACACACCTGGGGTACTACCCCAATACAATATTGTTCAACGAAGAATGACAGTGACCACAAATCATATATCGGTGTTTCAAAGGAAACTTTAATTCTTGTATAATGCTAAACTGATGAAGTAATTACTGACTCTTACATATTTCATGTGTGTAAAAAAAAATTCTCATCATGACAAAGTTAACTACTGCAACATACGTTTTATTTGGAATTACGCTTTCTTAGTAAAGTACAAATTCTAGTACTTTTGGGGTTGAGTCCCATCCGGGATTCGAACCCACATCCTCAGAGTCAAGCACCAAATCTCCAGCACACAAAGTCAGCCACCTAACCCGCTCAGCCACCGCAAAAATGGAAGATGGACAACTGGTAGTCTAGACTGCGGACTTTGTGTACCACTCTGATAAGTGTAAATTGGCACGGCTCCCACGGCCGAAAGCTATGATTACACAATGCCATTTAGAAAGTGGTCAAATGCAACATATGTTATATTTGGGATTACACTTTCTTAGTAATGTACAAATTCTAGTACTTTTTTGAGTTGAGTCCCATCCAAGATTCCGAACCCACACCCTCAGATTCAGGCACCACATCGCCATGTTTGTGGAAATTGCGGTGGCTGAGCGGGTTAGGCGGCTGACTTTGTGTGCTGCCGATTTGGTGCCTGACTATGAGGGTGTGGGTTCGAATCCCTGCTGGATGGACTCAACCCAAACAAGTACTAGAATTTGTACTTTACTGAGAAAGTGTAATCCCAAATATAGCATATGTTGCATTCGACCACTTTCTAAATGGCATTGTGTAATCAATTCCCATAGTGTGGCAATAGAAACACTGTCATGTTAAATCTGAGATGTCTAATGTACAAAAGGGGAGGTAATCTATGCATCTGAAGTTCATCTAAAATCACGGGATATGAACGGTGACTATACCCATTACCGAATCGTCACATCTCACAGAAAAAACAAAAACACTAATTCTCAGGTTAGACAATACCTACATATAAAATTTAAATGAATTAGATCTAGTCTTTGAAGGAATACATTCTTGACCAGTGCCATGGGCATGATGCCAAAACGTCACTGGTAGGCTGGTAGCAATGTGAACTAATTTAACACAGCAATTTCACACACACGATCTATAGTAAACATTACCCGGGCATAAATCTGGGAGATATGTAGTTGGCATTGTGGGTGGTGATAAGCGTCCCTGCTGGTCTAGACATTTTGCTGGTTTAGTTTTCCGTCGACTTCTGACAGTGCTCCCGTGACCATGTATAGTTGTTTACATGCGCTGCTACGGACTACGAACAATCCGCGGTAAGAAATAGTGCAAACAAAACCCGGAGCTATGATTGGCGTAGTTTGAAACATCATGCAAGCAAGTTAATACTATGCATGTCGTCCTCCCTAAACATATGTATACAGTATATTTTACATTTTTCATGAACACAAGGCATAGTTTGAATGTTTTAGTGAATCACGACGCGGTACCCATAGCAACAAGTAGTTCCACCAATATTAAATGTCGCCTAAAATACTTACGCTTTTAAGCTTCACGTTTGAAACGCGCAATTTATGATCATGAATTTAGCATAAAAGAATAAATTACTCACAAGACATATCTGTTAAATTGAAACTTTAGAAAAGATGACAATTTAAAATGTAAATAAAGAAGTTGATCATCCATAAAGTCATCTCTAAAATGAAAATTTGTTGATTTTCATGTCATTGGAAGCAGAAACTATAAAATGTTAAAAAAACAGAGCTAATACCCAGAAATAAAAAATAAACAAATCTAAACAAAACTACTTTTGATGACAAAAATTACAGTTGTACATTTTTGTACTAGCACAACTACTGCAACCTTTTATTGTTCTTTATTTAGAAAAAAACAACTCAGCAGCGAAGTTTGCACGATATTAATTTACAAATTAAATTATGTGATGAATATTTCTATGATTATGATTGTTTCCAGGATATTCACAGGGGTGTGAGCATAAGAAGTCAAAATTATTGTTATTACCACAACATTATTCATATTTGTCATATGATCTAATTATAATTATTTCAAAATAACTTCCGATAGAGATTACACTTAAAGTTAGTTGATACCTATAAGGTTCAGATTCTCATTGAAAGGTTTGTTGTGTGTATTAATTAATGTGCCATGTAATCAAACGCCGCAGGAATTAGGCGGGATATGAAGTTCGGTTCCCTAGGGCTCCCGCCCTACGTTCTACATGCCGAAACTTCCACATACCTAAGTGCTACAGAAAGTTCTGGGCGGAATACCTATTCTGATAATGAAGCAGCCAATACGGGGCTTAGGTGCTGAGAAGAAATTACATTACTAGGCAACAGTAAAGCTTCATCGATTTCTTTTTGCAGTAAAACACAACTGTGTGTTTATAAGTAAACTAATGCTTAGTCTCTGAATATTTATAATTTTGATAGTAACAAACCAGCCCCTTTAAATTGAAAAGGAGCCTCAGGGAGACCAGAACCTGAGGAAATCTAGACTTGCTCTTTTAGGGCTTTAACACTGCAGAGAGGGCTTGGGTAGGGAAAATAATGTGGTTCAGGGACTGTGAGACAGACTATGTTTATAAGTAACAGTTTGTTGTTTTATAAAGGTTAAGATTACCCGACTTTTATTCAATGGTAAACTCTTTCAACCTTTTTCCTTTGTTTATACGCCCACTATGATTGAATATCAGCTGCACTGATACATCTCCCCAATAATAAGCATCAATTTCTAAGTTTATTTTTGTTTTAAACTTAAGTTAGACAAAAATATTTATTGAACGTCCCAGGGTGACAGTCACATATTCATTCCCTCAATTTATGCTTGTTTTTATTATTTAAAGGGGCGGTGGGGTAGCCTAGTGGTTAAAGCGTTGGCTCGTCACGCCGAAGACCCGGGTTCGAATCCCCACACGGGTACAATGTGTGAAGCCCATTTCTGGTGTCCCCGCCGTGATGTTGCTGGAATATTGCTAATGGAGGATATGCAAAATATTATAAGCTCGAGAGAGTTGTTCATTGTAATAAGAAGAAACGTCACAGGTTCTTGAAGGTTGCAATAACCTCGTACGACAGACTTGCCCAAACTCACTCCTGGACGAGTAAAATCACAACGCAATGGACAGTTTGTTTGCTAAACGTGAATAACTCCATATAAAATGTACAGATTGATATTTCGACGATAACTGAAAAATTACCGAAGCATTAAAGCCTAAACTGTGAATGAAGACCTAAAATCACTATATATCTAAGACCTGACAACAAAACAAAGTGTGTCTGCTGATGAGGATGTCATATTTCGTGTTCAAACGATCATTTTTCTTTCGACACTCAGGAGGGTGCCCTCGCCTAACGCGCAATTGTAATAAATATAGAGGGTGTCAAGCTAACTTTCTAGATCCTTCTGCCAAATGGCAAAACCTGATATGATTATCTTTCAAAAGTTCATATCTGATATGGTCGTAAAGAAAATGTGTTTCGTCCTCGATCACATCACAGAACGGACAGTGGCGCTCGTCCAGTGGGGTTACAGGTCTGCTTTATAGCATCCGGTTTCTATGGTGAGAGGTTGAGTGCCGCATCGGAATTTAGCTAACACTTTTCTTTTCTATCTCGAGATTGAGCATCAAAGATATATCTCTGGTGATCTATCTTCCTTAAATGTAACATACACTTAGACTGGATGCATGACAGGGCCCTGCTAGCAGACGTGGCAAATTCTTTAACAGTAACTTTCATGTCCAAATAGTCATTAAACTAACTTCCCACATATTTGTATTTATCTGTTTCATGAATGTCCAGAGGTCGACATTTTGAAAACTTGGAACTAGGCGTGATATTAACATTTCTATTTCCTCTGAAAACGAAGAACTTTACTTTTTTCCTGAATCTCTCGATCTGCAATCTTTTATTTTTGGCCCCAACTTTCATGCATTTTATCCAGCATCTATTGTAGGGAACTTCTTCAATTCTTGGAGCCAAGTAACGCAGCCGTCATCCGCGGCTAACGCTTAAGCGATAGGTTGTTGGTGTCTACTCCATATACCAGCATTAATATCTTCGCCACGTCACTTCCAGCGGCAATAGCAAAAGAGGGTTGGCAGACAGGAAGCTAGTTCTTGTTTAACACTACACATTATTTATGTTGAAATGATGGATGCCAGCGTGTAATTCGTTCTTACCCACACTGAACACTCGAACATTTCTTCTATACATGACCCTTAAATCACCACCATTTTATACATCAAATCTGCCACTCCAGCCTTTCTGCTAAGTTTTAAACCATAAACATCTCAAGGTTGATATTGTCAAAGGCTTTCCCTCAAGCCAATAAAACAGGAAAATGTACTTTTGCTTCCTGACACTTCTTCTGTTATTAACAACTTATGATCAAGACTTATTCTAAATCCCATCTCCTGTTCATCAACCAGCAAGTTATTTTCTTCATCCATTTAGAACGGTTTAATAATCACAATTAAATATGTAATGACTCTATAGGCTGATGGTACATGTAGGTCAGTACTTCCAAGTTGATTATGGGCTTAATTATTCCTTGTCTCCACACTGTGGTGGGTGTTAACCCATGCTGAAAGCAGTAGTTGAATATCTTATGCTAATAAGAGTATACATGTACTCATTACTGTCATTTTGAGAATTGCTGTCGGTATTTCATTATATACCGGTTGCCGTATGCTTTTTCCTCTTGCCAATGCTGCTCCTCGCTTCACATGGATATGACTGGATCATCTAAAGGAGTATCACTATTAAGTAACCGCCCACCTCGACTGGACTGGAGTTTGGTTTACCGCTCGCTTTAGCAATTATTCCAGCCAACATCATGGCGGGACACTAGTACCGGGCTTTCATCACTGTACCTGTGTGGATCTGGAACCTGGTCTTCGGCGTGACGGAGCTAACGCTTTTAACCACTCAGGATTCATCCCCACCGCCCTCTCCGTTGTTACAAGTTGGGCCAGAAGTTCAGGATCTTTATTTTCTTCGGGTGTTCATCATCAAAAACATCTGGTTGGCTGTGCAGTATATAGTTGACTTTAGGCATTCTCTTCCATTTGTCAAATATCACTTGAATAACTGTTTCTGGACGAAATGTCCACAGTCATCACAACCAGCCTAAAATGGATCAGTTTACAATTGGTATGCTCTTGTTGGTAAAGGAAAACCGCATGCTTTTCATGTTGTTTTCTGTACCCTTTAATCATATACTATAATATAATACACCACACCGTAATCAGGTAACTTGTCCCATGTTATTACTTTCTCATGTTTTAAGTGCCCCAGTAATTACATACTTGTCCGTGAAACGACAGGCGAAACTGGCTATTGATTTAGTTAGCCCTTGGCCATGCTATGTCAGACAGAACACTGTGCTTTTACCTACAGCACCATGTGCGCTTAAAATTACTACACATTCAGACTATGTAAAAGTGGTATTTAGGTAGATGTAATACTATTCTTTAAATATCAACACAATTGAAGATAGATCTATGTTTAAGTTTTGTTTGACAACCCTGGCCAACACCTGTGATGTGGAGCCTGTGGGAATGTGGGAAAGAGACGTTCACTTTGAGACCCTGTGAAAGGATGTTGGGAAATATGGAGAAAAAGGAGCTCTCATTTTAACGGACCCTGTTATCTTAAGTGATGTATTATGACGTTAGAAAGTGGTATTTAGGTAGATATAACACAAATCCTATGGATCAAAATGCATTTGAGGATACATCTGTGATGTTTAAGGTAATTTTGATAGCCCGGGCCAAGTCGGACCGAAGACTCTGTGCTGAAGAGACCTTGTAGGGAATGTGGAAAGATAACTTCACTTTGAAGATCATCTTTGTTTATAATACGTCGCTTTGATAGTCGGACTGAACATAAACCAAAAGCGTTTCATTGAGACTCTATGTTTGGATTCCTCCTGACGCTATGTTGGGTATATAAATGTAGTGAGTCCGTTTCATGGAAGGGTGCTGAATTTTCACAAGAAGGTTTTAACTGGAGTGTGCTACAAAAATAAAACACTTCCTTTTCTTCATATCATTATTCATCCAGCTTCTTTTTTTAAAATGGATACAATTTCAAATTATATATCTACGTTTAAGTGCCAACTAAGTTGTGAATCTTTGTGATCCTTAGCAAAGTGTGAGTAGTATATAAGTATTGTTGCTTTTAAAGCGGCTTGCAACGTTGACATGATCTATGCTCAGCATGAGTCCGTTTCATGTTTTATTTTGTTTCAGGCGACAGTTAGAT